CCTAACGAACTAACTAACTAACGAGGCAACCTACTATTTAGTACTTAGAAATAAATAAATCACTTCAGAGTCTATCGCGAAACCTCCAGTGCCTCTAACAGCTCGACTGTAAACCAAACTCTATGAGTAACTCTTAAATATAATTACTTTCAAAAAGTACCCACATACATGTAGGTACTCAATGTACTCGAATGTGTCATATGCCATGTCTGGTACGATATTTGAGTTAAACTTAAAACCGAGTAGCTTTTGAGTATTCGACCGTAAGTGTACAAAAACGTAACGCACATATGTTACAGAGAGCCATCTCGGTCCGGGACGTCCGGGTAAACGTTGAAACTACCGAGTCTCAAGCTCAGTCTTCTAAAATACAGAGAAGTAGGTACTTACTAACCCTACTACGGTGTTTGTCAGTCAAATACTACTACGACTAGACTACGCTGCAACTAGATAGTATTATAATTTTGAATCAGGACTTTGCTGACAACAAAGCATTTAATTATATTCTAGCTTCTAAGTAATTGTCGTATTGTTTTCTTTTAACACTACTGTGTGATGTAATTAATAAAAAACCATTGCCCTACACTAGGATATTCTCCTGTGTCGTGGGTGAGTTTACAAACATACAAGTTCACATACACATGACACCCAGACCCGGAACAACAACCTGTGGATCACAATCACACAAAGAGTTGTTCTGTGCGGGAATCGAACCCGCGACACTACACGGCAGCCAGTTGTTCAACCACCGCACCAACCGTGCAGTCAAACTTATAAACGACTGTCAACAAAAGTAATGTTATTCTTTTTACGTGGTGACTCCACTAGTTGCAAACAAGAACATATTTGAGACTACTTCTATAAATAGTCACGTGTATGAGTCGTACCTAAAACATTAATAAACCAATATCTTATATATCTTATATCTACTTATACTTTTTCTACTTTCGGGGTTTCTATCGCTGTGCTTGGCGCCTATCGATTGTGACGTCATGTTTTGTAAATCATGTTTTGTCTCGATAAATGGACAATCCAACACAAAATGAATTTTTCAAATTGGACCAGTAGTTTCTGAGATTAGTTCAATCAAACAAGCACCTCAGCTTTATATAATACTATCTTAAGCTTTATATAAGATCTTATAGTTGGTTTGTTTGTATGCAATGTTGCTATAGTGCAGTTGTTTCTTATTCCCCGAAAAAGTACCTACAAATTCATAATAACACCAAGAATGCACAATTATATCATGAGCAGTGCTTTTCCATTCTACTTAATTTAATAAGCGAACTACAAAAAGAGACCTTAGAGTTCATTACAATATTTTTTTTCTTTTATTCAAAGCAATAAAATATTATACACAGTCTAGTTCTT